AAAAAAAAAAAAAACCAAACCCTAAAAACCCAAATCCACAATAAAAGTCAAAAATACATATCAGATACCTCCTGATTTGATGTACTAAACAGGATGCAATATCATTTTTAGTATTCTGGGTAAAAATGCATAACTTGAACTTAACCATAAGGAAATATCAGATAAACCCAAACTGAGGAACATTCTACAAAATAAATGGCCTATATCTCCAAATATATCAAGGTTTTAAAAGACAAAAGTCAAAGGATTGTTCCAGATTAAAGGGAACTAAAGCCACTTGCCAACTATATTACACACATGAACTTGCATTAGATCTTGAACCAGGAATGTATTTATAAAGGACATTTGTGAGACGACTGACATTTGAATAGGAGAGAGAACATTACTGCATCCGTGGTAACTGCCTGATTTTTGATCAGTGGTAATTGTCGGATTTTGAGCCATTTTGCAAAGATTGTCCTTGTTTTTGGGAAATGCACACTGATATGTTTAGGAGTAAAGTATCATTATGTCTGTGACTTACTCTCAGAAAAAATACAGTTGTGTATGGGAGAAGTGGGGGAGAGGGGAGGGGGAGGGAGGAGGAGATGATGAGAATGCCAGTGTGGTCCAATGTTCACATTTGGGGAATCCGGGTGGAAGAAGACAGGCATTCTTTGTTCTGGGTGGCTTTTCTTATCTGAAACCATTCAAGATCAGAACTTTTGTTTAAATAAAAGGATATACTTGGGAAATGGCAGTGTGAAACTTGAAATGAGTAACAAACTCTATAGCTCTGAAGAGCAATGATACAGAGAGAAAACAGAGAGGAAACTGGGCAGAGAACAAATAGAAACTTCAGGGCATTAGTTCCTATTTATTCAGTGCTAAGATGATTCCTGAAAATGAATTTGCACTACATTATGAAAACACCTGCTTCGATAGTTCAGTCCCTCCCCAGCTGGGTTCTCTTAGCTCCAACCTGCTGATCTGGGGCCCTCCCTCCCCAAAGTGCTTCCAATAGCATACAGATGGCAGGACTGCCTCTCCGAGGGTGTCCAGGTCCCTGTCCGCCTGACAGTCAGTAGTCTGTTAACACATGGACGTTAAGCACTCGTGTTGCAGTCCAGGAGCCCTCTTCATCAACAGAAGTATCAGAGGAAAAGACATGCGTGCTGGCCCAACCCGGGGAGGGAGGAGAGGGAGGAGCCGTCCCTGCACTGCATCCCTGAGCTCCTCCCTCATCCTCAGAGGTCATGTCTACACCCTATCAGAAGCACGAGATGAGGGCGAGTATGAAATTCGTATGGATCTAGAGAAGAGTATGTGTAGGGACGTAAGTCAGACAGAGAAGGACAAATATTGTACAATATCACTTATATGTGGAATCTGAAAAACAACACAAATGAATGTATACACAAAGCAGAAGCAGGCTCACAGATATAGAAGACACCAGAGTGGTCACCGAAGGGGAGAGAGAAGGGTTGAGGGGCAAGATAGGGGCAGGTGTTTAAGAGCTACAAACTACTGTGTATAAAACAGATAAGCAATGAGGATGTCCTACACAGCACAGAGAATTACAGCCATTACCTTGTAATAGCTTGTAATGGAGTATAATCTGTAAAAATACTGAATCTGTACACTGTGTCCCTGAAACTAATAAAATGTTGTAAATCAATTATTCTTCAACTAAAAAAATAAAATGGGCAATAAAAAAAGAACTTTGTGATAACCCAAGTTGCCACGGAAGTCCAAGAAAAAGAATCTCACTTATTAAGCCACTTGTTTTCCAACTCTAAGTTACACCTAAGGAAGAAACTATGATGAGGAGTGAAATGAAAGCTTTCTCCCCAAACAGAACAGAGTACTTTTCCTTGAAGTCTGTTAAGTTCAATTTGTTTCAAACGCTGAGGAAATGCAAACAAGAGCTCTTAACAGCAGAAGGGTAACTCAGGTAAAGTGAACACACACCCTGGGGAAAACCACAAATAGCTTCTAAAGAACACACCAGGACATAATCACATCTTTCATGTTTTTGAAAGATATTTTTATTATATATTTGCTGATAAGTTTGAATGGGGAGAGACAGGAGAAACTGTTTGATGTAGGTTTCATTTTTATTTTTCCAAATGCAGAAATTTCCCTTGGAAAGATGTTAGTGTAGTGAAATTTAGAGGAATTTAACTAAAGCCTCCTATCCCTAAGGCCTAGCCCAAGCACCCATAAGGGCTCTTAGTTTTTTTTTTTTAAAAAGAGATGGCTTTAATTATTTCATTGACAAGAAGATTAATGGTTAGTATTATTTATTCACATAATTAAGGTCTGTGGCTAAATCCTAATGTCTCAGAGAGAGGGACCCCACCATTAAAGCATCACCTGACACAAGCTATGAAAAGAGTCGCCAAACACATTATAAAATATATTTGAGAAATAGTATTTTATAGAGATCAGCGTGAATGGGGGCCATTACCTGAATTTAGTCTTTTGTTTCTTTCACTAGGAGATGGGGAACTTTCTGGAATGGTTCCAGGTAAGCTTCCCAGCTGGGCCTGCTTCTCCAGGCCTTCCGGGATGCCCACAGAGTCCCTGGGCAGTGCAGCTTCAGCCTGGGGCCTGCAGTTCTCCCTGGAATGAGCCCCACGGGCATCAGCCTGTGGAAAGGCAAAGGCTTTGTGAGAGTCAAGATGTCTTGGAAACTGAAAGTGTTGCAAGGTCTGCTTTGTGACTGTTTAGCCAACTAGTGTCTGTGGCAGGCTTGAAGAGTACCCAGCAGCCTGTGGATGTGACCTTGCATGGCAAAAGGGACTTTGAAGATGTGCTTAAATTAAAGACCGTGTGATGGCAAGATATCCCCCGTTATTCAGGTGGGCTCCAAATGCAAGCATAGGTTTCCTTACAAGAGGGAGGTAGAGGGAGACTGACTACAGAGAAGGAGATGGCGGTGTGATGACCGAGGCAGGGACAAATCTGAAGATGCTGCAGTGCCAACGATGAAGATGCAGGAAGGACCACCAGCCAAGGAATGAAAGGAATGCAGCCTTAGCAGCTGGAAAAGGATCCTCTCCTCAGAGCCTCTGAAAGGAAGCAGCCCTGCAAACATCTTGACTTTCACCCAGTGGAACCAATTTTAGACTTCTGACCTCCAGAACTATGAGAGAATAAAATTGTGTTATTTTAAGCCACTAAACTTACATTTATTTGTCATAGCAACAGTAGAAAACTGACCTAGTGACTAATATGAACCCACCAGGTACAGACAACTATGCTGAGCTTTCTGAAGGGCACCAAGGTGCAGAAGTTCAACCATCAAATACGAAAAGTAAAAAGACCACTGTGTATTAAAGTTTTTTTAATGAAACCACCTTGACTGTTTTTGCAGATGAAATAATTAATATGGACTCGTACAAATAATTAAATAAAACAGAAAAAATTTGTAATGATCAGTTTCATGGGTCAGCTGAGCTCGGTTATCGTAGCCAGTTATTCAATCAAACACTAATTTAGGCTTTGCTGTGATGGTTTTTAGTAGGTGTGCTTAACATCTACCATTAGTTGATTTTAAGTAAAGGAAACGATCCTCAGTGATCTGGGTGGGCCTCATCCAATCAGTTGAAAGTCTTAGAGCAGAACTGAGGTTTCCCTGAGGGAGAAGGAATTCTGTGGATGCAGTTTAAGCTCCAGCCCATCCTTTCTGACCACCCATTCTATTGTATGGATTTTGGACTTGCTTTGTCAGCCCCCAGAATTGTATAAGCCAATTCCTTGTAAAACTTGTAAAACATCTATATATCTATCCACTCACCATCCATCCATCCTTCATACTGGTTCTTGGATCCTTTGGTAAAACCCTGACTGACACAGAAACACAGTAGAAAATAAGAAATACCATTCCCTGGACAGAAGCACTACTAACATCTTAGCATATAACTTCCCAGATGTGTTTGATCATGTAAATATAACCTTTAAAAATAAACTGGAATTGGCCAGGAAGCACATAAAAAGATGTTCAGTATCATTTTTCACTAGAGAGATGCAAACCAAAACCACAATGAGATTCACTTCACACCCTCTAGGAGGACCATCATGAAAAAGACTCGTAATAAGAAGTGCCGTCAAGGACGTGGAGAACTTGGAACTCTCATACGATACCATGGGAACGTACAATGGTGCAGCCACTTTGGAAAACGGTTTGAGAGTTCCTCAAAAATTTCCCCTTGACATAGAGTCACCACATGACTCAGAAATTTTGCTCCTAGGCATATGTCCAAGCAAAATGAAAAATGTATGTTCATACAAAAACTTGCACACAAATGCTCATCATTATTATTCATAATATGTAAAAAGTGGAAACAAGCCAAATGTCCAGCAATTGACGACTAGATGAATTAAATGTGGCCTATCCACACAAAGGAATATTATCTGGCAATAAAAAGAGATGGAGTACCGATACACACTACAGTACAGATGACAGCTGATAGCACCATGCTAAGTAAAAGCCAGTCACAAAGATTCATTCCATTTGTATCACATGTTTGGAAGAGGCAGATTAATAGAAACAGAAGGTAGATTTAGTGATTGCTTGGGAAATGTGTGTTGCCTACCAATGGAGAGTGGCTTCTTTGAGGGGGGGACAAAAGTGTACCCAAATTAGATTGTAGCGATGGGTAAATTGTATATGTGAATTACATTTCAATAAAACTGATTAAGACATAAAAATCTATATTAAATGATATTATATTTCTATAACCTGTTTTTTCTATTAACAATACATCAGAGACATTTACCTATGTCAATAAATACAGGTCTACCTCATTCTGTTTAATGGTGAGAGTGGTTGTTCATTAGATGATTGCATGGTAGGCCAACTATACCACAATTTATTTAACCAGTTCCTACAGAAGGACATCTAGGTTGCTCCGAAGTTTTCAATACAATAAACAGTATTGGCATAATGTCTGTGCTGTAAATTATGACTCTAGGAACTAAACGGAAAATATTCCCTTTAGGAAAACTGAATACAAAAGTGGGACATTAGCATGAAACTCTTGGTACTTTCACAATAAAAGTCATACCAATTAAAAAGATCTAAGCACCTCTGACCACCTTCTGGAAGCACATCGAAGTGCTCTGCAGTCCCTCAGAGGCAGAGTAGAAATCGCCTTAACTAGGCCGTGGTGGCCCCATCACCCTCCGGCTCCCATAAATCAATTAGCAACTCTCACATGTTCAGGGAGACTCACATTCCTTATCACCATGTTTACAGCACATGATTGCTCCGGCTAAACCAACATCAGTCCATTGTGCTGAGGGTTAATTAGTTCTGTAGCTCGGAACCTCACAGGAAAATATGAAAACCCAACCAATTGAACAGACAAACAAGTTAGCAAACAAAAGTGCAATGGATCTGAAATGTAAGTCAGCACAAGAAGAGAGCCTTGGAACGACAACATGCTTTATGTATGCAGTTATTACACATGTGCTTTATACATGCTTTATGTATGTAGTTTATATGTAATAAAAGGAGGCCCTGTATGATATAATATGATTGTTATTATATGACAACATAGCATGTAATATATGTAATGGCTCTTTTCCTGGGTCAGCTTACTACTGGGGGGCTGCATGGCAGTAGCTGTGTCTATGGAGAAAGAGATGGAGAAAGAAAGAGAAAAGCAAGTACTTGCTCTCACATTTTCCCCTGGTGCTGATTCATATTTCAGATTAGTTGAGGTTTTGTTTGTTTACTTGTTTGTTCAGTTCATATATTTGTTCTCTGTATATATATATAAAGATATATATATATATCTTTCATATAACAAAGCAGCTCCTTTGTTAAATGAGATAGAAATATGTATATTTCAGATGCTTATCTTTTAGGGGTTCACAGTTCACACTTTACTGAAGGTAAAGATTATGTTGGGCACTCTTGCCCCCCTTTCTAAGTGAACTGTTAAAAACCAATATCTGCAGTGATGGTAAGACAGATATTTTCACAAGTGCATTTTGTTTTGCAGATCTGTCATTTTTTGAACCCAGCAGAACATTGAGTTACACGCAGGGATTAATTTTGCCATTTAAGATTTCCCCGTGGAGATCCTGAGACATGGAACTGATTTAATGAGAACAACAAAAACAAACAAACAAACAAATGCTCACATTGGGACTGAGAGCAAATCTGAAGGTTTTCAGTCTAAAAGGTGGCTTTCACAAAGATATTCTGATAACTACAAGTCAGAATAAATTTAAATGTCCCAGTTCTGAACAATCTCCCAATTGTTTCATCAAAACAACTAAACCAGGCTTGAGCAAGAATCTTTCCCATCTGTGCTTATTTAGACAGTCTGCCTTCAAGCTCTGCCAGTGACCAAAACTCAGACTGTAGCCGATGAAACACACTCTTCCAGCATAAAAGAACGTATACCAGCCTTCAGTCTCTGGAGCAGAAATGTAAGGTTTTTCTCTTCTGCAAACTAATAATGTCTTTCAAATATCTTATCAATGTGCAACACATTCTGGAAAATTTAACACCCAATTTCATAATCTAGACTTGAGAATAGACATAGTTCAAAGACGAGAGATATTTACAAGTTAATTAGATCTATGCCCCTCGGGGGTACAGCATAAACAGTTTTTTTGGTCTATCTATGCATGCAGAGTTTATATTTTCACACCAATAAGAAGTCTAACTGTGATGGTACAGGGGGAGGGGTCGGGGAGGTGGGTGGAAGGTTTCATTTTTTTCCTTGAGATGAAGTTGTAGCAGAAATACAGATTCAATGTTTCTACATTTTCTATCAACTTAATTTGACGCTTCATTGTTTTGGAGATAAATATTTTATCAATTTTAGACAGAATTAAAAAGCCATGAGTTCTAAAGTAAAGCTATGCATGGGAATTATCAGCATTCCAAAAAAAGTATTACTTTTAGCTATAGAAAGGTTTTTGTTTGCTTGGTTGGTTTTTGGTCTGACAGTATCATACGTTATGTTCTAAAGCGTTGAGGAAACAAACTTGCCAAACAGCTTGGAGAGAGGAGTCATTTGTCAAGGCTCCCTGGAGCTAAAACTTTATTATATCAAATTATTGGCAGATATGCACTTTAGAAATATATTTGTCTGCAGACAAACAGGAAGAATTTTCAAATTGATTTTTTTCTAGTTTACTTCTAATAAATGTAATAATAAATACCAACCCTCCAAAAAGCAGTCAGAAATATGACCTTCTAAAAAGTTGGACTTTAAAAAGTAAGTTAGTCCCTTTTACTGATGATAAACAAGAATTTTCACGTCAAAGTTTAGAGGAAAACTGTGAAGGATACTTAGAGATCTATTCCAGTCTAGTCTCTCCTCTTTTATATCAAGCAAGGGACTTCAAGTTAATTGTGTAGAAGAGAATTTCTCCAACTAAAAAAGTTTCCCATGCTTTTCTTATTAAGCATTATTTTACTACTGTGTCTTCTTGCCACTTTAGACTAAGGTAAAGTGAAGAGAAAGTCTGTAGGCAGATCTCAGGAAATTTGATTCAGAATATTTTAAAGTTGTTCTGCAAAGAAACATAAGTATTTCACGCCAGCAAACATGCCTGCATTCATTTTATTTTAAAGACATGGCTGAACTACTGAACTCTCAGCCCCATGCATTTATGAAGGTAGCAAAGAGTCCTGTGCTGGTAGCTCGGGTGTTTAACAACCACACTTTTCCTAGATCAAATTCCAAAGTCAAATGCTTGGGGAGGGGAAAGAGAGGTATATAGATGAGTTAACTCTGAGTCTACTTTCAGGTTATTTTAAGTTTGAATTTTGTCCTTGCTGACTGTCATTAGTCTAGTTATGCCACCAGGAGACAAGAAGACACTAAGGGAGCAGAGGAATTGAGAGGGACATGCTGTCGTCCCAGAAACATCTGTTAATGCCTGCTCTGCACCAAGCTCTGTATCAAGCACTCGAGATACAAAGACGAGGAACAGTTCCTTTCCTCAACAATAGCTTAGGATGGAGGCAAGCATGGAAACAAATAAATACAACAAAATGTTTTGAACGGTGATGAGAGAAGGTATAAGGTCCACTCTGCCAGCATGGTGGCGGCGGTGGGGGGTTTCGGGAAGAGCGGTCTTGAGTCATCTTGAAACTTGGGGGCGTATTTGCATGTAGTCCAGGAAGACGCAGAAGGAAAGGTCTGCAGGAAAGAGAAGAGCAGGTTCAAAGGCGCAGAGATAGAAACAGACTGGGGCTGGAGAACACGTGGTGAGGCTTGACTGAGGGTCAGGAGAGATGAAACTGGAAAATTTGACAGACATCAGCTGGAGGATGGCTAGTGAGGCTAAGAACTGAGGATTTTTTCTCACAGAAATAATTTTAATAATAGTGATTGTAACAACTAACCTTAAGTGCTTATTCTGTGCCAAGCGTTGTTATGAGCACTTAATGTGAACTGAATTCATTCAACTCTCACAGCAATAACTCTGCAGAATAACTATCACCACCCTCATTTTACAGGTAAGGAAACCAGGGCACACAGAGAGCTCCCATAACTTGACCACAGCCACACAGCTAACAAATGGTGAATCCAGAAATCAAACCTGGGTAGTCACACTCTTGACCATTGGTTGGTGTGCCTCCCTTATGGGTTGGGGACTTTTTAAAATTTTTATCAGAGAACTGACAGGTTCAGATTTGATGTTAGAACGATCACTCTGCAGGTCATGTGGAAGTCTGGGGCTGGAAGGAGGTGGAGGCTGGTAGTGGAGGAGGTATCTAGGGGGGACTGGTTAGGAGTCTTGGACAAAAATCCAAGCAAGGGGCAGTGACTATCTGGATTAATGCCTTAATTTCTCTTTGGAAAAAGAGAAAACAGAGCACCCCTACATGTTATTCCATAGCAGTGATGCATACTAACAAAGATGACCAAACGGCTCCCAAGAAGCCCATAAATCATGAGGGATAAAGAGCTTTAAACAAACATTGACCACATGATAAGGGAACATCACAGTGTGGTGCTTGAGCTCAGCGCTGAAGGATAAGTAGGAGTTTATCAGGCAGACCAGGAATGGGCCCAGGGAGGGCATTCCAGGAAGAGGGAATGGCCTGGGGAAAGGCCTGGAGTGGGATGAAGCCTGGAAGAACCGAGTACTGCAAGTTCGTGGTTTGGCAGCCCCGAGAGTCCACGAATGAGAGCAACTGGTGAGGGGAGGGTAACATTAGAGGGACTGGTGGCGCCAAATGTAGACTTTTGCACCCTACAGGGAATTTTTTCTTAGGACGCTAGGTGGCAGTGTGGCGGTAGACTGGTTAGGATGGCGATGCGGGAGGCAGAAAGACCCAGTAAAGGGTAATAGGGTCCTAAATGCAGACAGTGGCCGTTGGGATGGGAAACAGAAAGCAGTGTTGAGATGGGGGTCATCTGGGCTCAGGTGTCCCCCCGAGCACCAGCTACTAAGCCTGAGTCTCAGCGCCTACTGGCCTCTGGTTTGTTTCTGACGTACTCCCAGAGCCCCGTGGATGCGCCTCACACACTGCAGGTGCTGTAACTGGCACCGGAAAGAGTCTTGCCCTGCTGAGAGGAAGTGCGTGCTTTCTCAACTCTAGTTCCAAAATGTCCTTTAGGAAGGGTGACCATAAATCCTGGTTCACTGCAGACAGTATGGGCTTAGATTGAGCAAATTTATTTATAGTCGTCTCTTTCACTCTTAAGAGTACCCTGCTTTTTATCTGGAGAAACTCTAATTCGAAGAGATACATGCACCCCAATGTTCATAGCAGCACTATTTACAATAGGCAAGACATCCATTGACAGATGATTGGATAAAGAAGATGTGATACACACACACACAGAACACACACAATGGAATACTACTCAGCCATAAAAAGAATGAAATAATGCCATTTGCAGCAACATGCATGGACCTAGAGATTATCATACTAAGTAACATAAGTC